TTTCGCAGGCCGACCATAGATATCAGGTGTGCGTCGGCAGGGGATCGAAACCCAGACCATGTGCATGGTCGGCGAGAGTCATAACCACTGTGCACGCACGCCTTTCCTATTAAAACAATAGTTCATGAGACGTGAAAGACTAACAGATTGATTCATCAAGGTTAGTACGCGCCTATTTATAGTAAAACTTAAATGAAATGATGGCATTGGATAATATCTCTATGATCTATTCTACTGATTTCATTCAAACTGGACTAACGCTTTAGGAGAAGTATGGTCGTAAAAGACATAAGTAATACAGATGACGCTCACTGTATTAACTTGCGTACACATTGGCAAATTTTCATCAGAAGGTTTAGAACTACAGGAACTTTTCGCCTCAGTTCTTCCAAGAAATTACAATTATATACACACACTTATGTACAACAAAATTCGGATTTTCAATACAAACGTCAAGTCAGTTCTTCTATGCGGATCAGAAACTTGGCGGGCGGGTCACAAACAATATTTCCAACAGCCTGTTGCAAACCTCTATCAACAACTAACTGTCTTCGCTCTATACTGAAGATCAATCAGATGGCCGGAAAGAATCACCAACAAGAAACTATGGGGCACAAACAAGCAAAACAAGAACCAATCGCCCAACAAATATGCAGGAGAAAGTGGAGATAGATTGGACACTCGCTGAGGAGGCACCGCGCTGGGTGACACTGCGCGCGCGTCAGGCCATTGCTCGATTGGAACCAGGCCGAAAGAGAAGCGGCGAGTGGATCTTCAGTGCAAGGGTGACAAGGAGGAGATCATGTGAAGAGGAGTTGAAACAGTATGGACTAACATGGATGCAGGTGAAAAGTACAGCAGAAGACAGAAGTGGCAAGTGGAGACGTGCAGTTGAAGCCCTGTGTTCTACTAAGAACCCAAGGGAACAATAATTAATAATAATAATGAACATAATGTAGATAAATAGATAATTGATCCAAGAGAATTTACAAAAAATGACCACAAAAAGAAAGTGTAGTTTTACACCTACAATAATGAGTATGAAATGTGAGAAAAAATACACTTATACAAACACACACACACCATAAGGAACAACACAAAATACCAAAGGTAAAAATTTTATCACATGAGTTAGTCATCATTTCCCCGTTTTTAATTTGCATACACACAGAGAACATGTGCACTGATTTATAACAAAAACATTTAATTATTTTACTTGTGAATGCAATCATCACAAGTTAGCATTCTGATCATTCATTACCCTGCTTTTTCATCTTATCACAATGCTATTATGCTTCTAACAGAAAGTGTTAATTTAATAGTAATGACAGTAGCCACTGTAAAACACACAAACCAACAAACCTAAAGCGTTTTGATCTGAAAGGAGAAAGCCAATCGACGCACCACTCTCTGCATAGCTAACCAAATTTCCACGACTCACGCACACACAGTCAGAAGTATACTGTCGGTGTAGTAGAATCTGTGGGACTATTAAACAATAATTTTTTTTATTCTTATGCGTGCCAAGTGGAACTTGGGGCTTCACGCTTGAGCTCTATTGAAGTTCCAGTAGCAATGATGTGTATTCTTTCATGACGTGAGAACGTTAACGTCACGCTCAACCTCTTTTTTTATTCAACTTGTGGTGAGAGCTGTCTGCCAGTCAAAATTGATAGACAGTAATTTACGTCAAAGTTGTTTACCTCCAAAATCTTGGTCAAGAACAAAGACTAACTCAACAACCAATCACAGTAGACTATGCGTGGGCGGATACGATTAGCAGATATATGGTCTGACCTTCAAAGAAACGGCCACAAAGAGATGACAGATAACTCTTAGCGAGAAAACAACCAATCAGAAGACGCTATTTCTCTGCTAAAAATAACGAATTATAATGTACATAAAAATCTATAATATCTCTTGATTTCCCCAATAAACGATCGGTTGCCTGGCCCTTGTCTTCTGTAGTTAGAAGCTTACTACCGACCAAGCGAAGTTTTGGATACATCGACCGGGGATCAAACCATAGAAAAACGTGAGTGGTTAGTGCCCACTATACCGATGAACCAATGACGTATATATATATATATATATATATATTTGATTTACAGCTTGATTCCACACAGTATTTTCGGTACAAGTATGGAATTTTCAGCATGGATATCGGTAGCCCAAATTTCGCAGGCCCACCATAGATATCAGGTGTGCATCGGTGCGGGCTCGAACCCTGGCCCATGTGCATGGCCGGCGAGAGTCCTAACCACTGTGCCACCGACGCACTATAACAAATAAAAGTACAAAACTACCTCAAACAATGCCATCCAACAGTTCTATATGTAGTCTAAAAACTTTCCCAAGCAAACAAAAACATGTGCCGTACAAGAAAATTAACCACACGTAAGCCTTAAATACCTGAGAGTGAAAAAGGATATTTACAACAAGAAGATGCGATCAAAACTCTGTCTGCAAGAATCACACAGAACACAAAAACACATTCCCCACAAACAGTTCAAGGCCAAACCGTCAATCCACAAAATAACCTTAAATATATCCAAACAAAACTTCAATGGTAGAGAACGACATGTTATTATTAACAGTGCACCCATTACATCATAGCAAGCAGAAAAACAAAGACAAACAGTAAAGATTAAGTCGCAAAAAGATATGCGAATGTACAGGTTGGAAGAAAGCTATAATAATTACAAGATCAACTGAAATATTTATTCATATAAATATCAATATTTACATAAATAGGTCCTTCATAGAGAGATTTTCACATCAATAATACTGCTACCTACAGGATATATATATATAAATCTAGTGGTAACCACGTCGAACTACAGTACAGACACTGTGAGCAGAATGAGTTGTATGGAAATCAGAGATTTACATATTTCATCAGGCGTTCTCAGTTACTTACCGCGTTCCTAGTAATCTATCTAGAGGAACTCGACGACGTCTTCTATCACTAGCTGCGGCGGTTGTAAGAAATACCAGAAAACCGACACTTTGTATACAGAAAGGTGTTCAACCTCTGTGTTTACCTTGGCCTACAATAAAGCCAACAAATCCTCCATAAACACTGGCACTTTAAATTGCTATCACGATTTTCTTTTCTTCTTCTTCTATTCCTCTGCTTCATTGACAAACGTTCATTTTCGACTTTTATGATTTCATGACCTTTCTTATGATTTCTATTACCTTGGGTTGAAGTAGTGCTTTTCTAACTTGCTATCGTATTTACAAAATCCTGTTCATTCCACTTCATTATATTCATTATTATTATATGACAATCATCCACTATCAATACTTGTAATTTTACACCATATCATCCTTATTATTTTACAATAATTCTTATTGTCGTCATTTTCAATCTTGAACTTGTGTCTAGTCCGCCGAATTCGTTGGTTTATTTTCATATTGTCTCACACAACCCTGATTACACTCACTCTCGAAACCTGTATTTTCCGTTGACTATATTTAGATGTACACACACACATCATTAAATTAAATTACTTCATCTCATTTTGTCCCATGTTCTCATTGACCATGCATATTAAAAAACTATCTGACTATTGTTTCATCCCATCTTACTCATACTTGTTCCACAATACACTTTCTGATATGATTCTAATTTGCCTTTACTGGCTGGATATTGTATGCTCAAATTAATGGAATTTATAATTGTAGAGCCTGATGAAGGAAGAATTTATTGAAACCACAATTGTTCGCTCTAACTATTTTGCTCTGAATAAATTATGGGAATATATATATATATATATATATATATATATATATATATATATATATTAATTTCATAATTCCAAAAATGATGTAAGCAGACAAATTATTCAACGTTAAAAGGCTAACTGTCATAGCATAATTAGACAAGAGGGAGAAATCAGAGTTTACATTCGGCTTAGAAACAACGAATTAACTAAGCACAAAAATCACAAAAGAACAACAGAGTGAATTTATAAAAAACATGATGAAAAGTTCAAGATGATGAGAGTGAACAGAAAAATTTAAAATTATGACATACACAAAAAAAAGATACCAAGTAGATTTGTAAACATAATAGTGAAATCAATTCAGTTAGTATAAATCAAAATTAAGTGAAATGCTAAGCAGTGGAACCAAATACAAATAACACACAAACAAAACAATTACGATAACTATGGGGTGGTGAGAGATTTATCAAGCTATCTTTCGGAATATAGGCATTAGGCTGAATTCGTCTGATTGCAATGGTTTCTGCGATGGTGAAGGGGGTCACCATGCTCTTCTTCATACATTCATTATTTTGAAGTCCTGACTAATTTCCACTGTATCAGTTGTCTGATAATCATATTTGTAAATACTTTACTATTCTCACACATATTCTCAAAACATCTAGTAGACACCCTCCTTGTGGTCCTTCCTCCACTCGCGGTGGCGGATACGAGTTATGTTCAGTTCAAGTTCATTAGTTTGCAAGGATTCTGATAGATTTCAACAGTGATCACGAAGACACTTCGGTCTGAGAGCCAATGAAAATCTGGGAGTACTGGGCGGAAATTTCACCCCTTCTTGGAACTCATCATCAATATGCAATCATAATCACACTAGGAAACAAACGCAGGGGCTTCCGGTTACAAGGTAAGCTCGCCGACCGTTTGACCACTGGAACGAAATGTCATTGGCGAGCGACAGTCCTAAAACTTAACTGACGAACTTTCCTGCTTAGGAATTCCCGCCTCGTTTGGTAACCTTAAGGTCTTGGTTTTAGCCATCCCTGTGACGTGGTCAACATAAGCGCGTATCACTGAAATGTCCCAAACAAGGACGAAACGTAGGTAATATGTAGTCCCTGGTTCTTCAGTGAAATCCTTTTGAATTCCGGGAAAAACAACTAACTAGACGTAAAATGGTTTAGTTTTCTAATTATTCAGTTGTATGTGCATTATGACCTGATCAAACACATGACAAACAAAAGATTTTATAACAATAATAATAATTACCTTCAGATCATTACAGGCAATGATCCTCGGTTCTAAGCATGTAGATTCAATGGATTCCAATGATTCAAAATGATGTGGATAACACAATAAGGATAATATCACAGATATAGCTTCTGACCTCGGGACCTAACCGGAAAAAAAGTGAAACATACCAACAGTGAAAATATATATATATATATATTAAGCTGAGAGATATTTTAGAATTATTAATACATACACCAGTACAACATTCGATAATTATTTCTTCAAAGTGTGAGTCTTAGCAGAGATTACCAGTAGTATCATATGAAACATCAAAATTGTTGATACGGGTATCCTGGTGAAAATATATATTTTTTTTGTGTACTGATTTGTGAATTATCCCCCATACTCTCGATATATATAAAGTTAAAAAAATATATTCACTGATTTTCTATACTCATTTTCTCCACTCTGATGTAAAAACATAGAATGTCGCATGAAATCATATCAGTATAAGCACTATCGAAATGATCGACTAAACTCCTAGGTAGATATATACAGTTAAAGAAGGAAGTGATGCTCGAAGAGGTTTCGTGTGCTCTTGGAAGTGTATGGGCGGTTGTTATTTCCCGGCTGCCCACACCGTGGAAGTTGATTGATTCTTTGGATACCTGAAACAGAAAGAGGATTTAGTGTTGCGTGACCGCAGAAGCCTGTCACACACGGCCTGTATGAACTGGTTTCTGGGATTGGTTCCGTATTAGTAAACTTTCCGTCGGTTACAAATCACCCTAGGGTAAGTCGGGATGTACAATTTTTGGGGCCGACTTTTACTGACCCCTTCTCTCCAGAGTGGAGAGACAGTATAGCTGGCATCCTGGTCATCTGAGGGAAACACCTCACTGCTGTTACACCCCTGTTCCCCAGCAGTATGACTTCGCCCTCAGACCCCCCAGCATAGTGTAAGAAAGATTCTTACACAATGCTGGTAATTGCTTTTAGTCTAATCGCTATCCTAACAACCTTCCTTGCATGGTAAGACCTAAAGGAACAATAGTTCCAACTAGTGTAGCTTGTTGGTTCATTGTGATGTGCGAGCTCGAGCACCACGTCAATGTAGCAGCTATCGGTAGGGAGAACTATACACACACAAAAAAGCGCAATAGTTCAATTTGCCACACTCCATACACCACACAGAAATGAAGAAAGAATATTGACATGGAATATGATGAGGACTTAATGGACCTGTGAGTTCGAAAAGAGCGAATATATTTGCATTTTGAGACATGTCACAAACAGTCTGCGATGATTGGTTATCCGTCCCTAATTAGGCAGTTTATATCTCCTCCACTAGGCTAAAAACTGACATTCAAAGACTTGATAACGGATTGATGATGGGTTTCGATTTGACTACCTCTAACTCTTTCTCAGCTTAATCCTACGTCAGGAAACTAAATCCGTATTTCAGGAAGAACTAACTAAACACATATCTGTGTTCGACAGCTGTGCTCACCCTGAAGAAGCTTGGAAAAATATCCAGTCAGCCATAGATACAGCTGTAAAAGCTGTGAATAAGGTAAACCCAAAGGTGAGTAAAAACCACTGGATCTCCACCGCCTCATCCGAACTGATAGATGCTAGAAGACTTATTCCGGCGAGCTCCGAATTCAATGAGGAGCGAAAGCTGCACATGAGGAAACTTACGAAAAGTCTCCGCAACGACCGTGAACAGTGGTGGGCGACAAAAGCCAAAGAGATGGAGAAAGCTTTGAGGATAGGCAACACCAGGCAACTCTTTGGACTCATCAGGGAAACGGGTGGGAGAAGACAAATCATTAGTGAGACAATCTCGGAAAAAAATGGCACTATAATTAGCTCACAGGATAGACGACTGGATCGTTGGAAAGAGCATTATGAGGAGCAGTTTAATTTGCCCACAGCCACGCTCAACCTTCCGAGCATCGAACACCTCCCTGAATGGAATATAGACACAGGTCCTCCGTCACTAACTGAGGTTACTAAAGCTGTCACCAATCTGAAACTAGGCAAAGCAGCGGGACCTGATGGAATGACGCCAGAGGTATTTAAGTACGGTGGAGACAGCTTACTGTCCGGATTAACTGAGGTACTAGGCAGCGTCTGGGAATCAGAAGAAGTCCAATCGGGTTGGTGTAAGTCACTGATTATCCCCATATACAAGAAGGGAGACAAGTCTTCCTGTGATAATCACAGAGGGATTAGCTTGACTAATATAGTATCTAAAGTCTTAGGCTCAATAATCATGCGTAGACTGAGTGGTGCTCGGGAAGCACAAACACGAGAGAGCCAGGCAGGCTTTAGACCAGGAAGAGGGTGTATTGATCATATCTTCACCCTCCGACAGATTCTAGAACATAGTCATTCCTACCGGCGTCCAACAGTCATTATATTTCTTGACCTAAAGGCAGCATTCGACTCTGTCGATCGGGAAGTTCTCTGGAGATGCTTGGCTGTAAAGGGAATTCCAAGAAAATATATTGCACTGATTAAGGCACTCTACTCGTACTCATACAGCCAGGTGAGGGCTTACGGCGAGTTGTCATCTCAACTGGTGATGACTAGTGGTGTCCGTCAAGGATGCCCATTATCTCCTTTTCTATTCAACTTCATCATAGATGTGTTAATGGACTTAACCCTAGGTGACTTCAGTGACTCAGGGATTGACTTACTACCAGGGAATAATCTCGTTGACTTGGAATATGCAGACGATATAGTCATTCTAGGCGAAGACGCTGACGAAATGCAGAGTCTTCTAAACACCTTGAGCCGCAATCTACGAATGTTTGGCATGCGATTCGCTCCCGCCAAATGCAAGAAAATGTTACAAGACTGGACTACATCGACGCCTGGTTTAAAAATAGGAAGTGAAGTGGTAGAGCACGTTGACCGCTTCACTTATTTGGGAAGTACCATCAGCCCCAACGGGCTGATCTCTGACGAAATCTCAGCACGAATACAAGGGGCTCGTTTCGCATTTGTTAGTTTACGCCGACTCTGGCGTAGACGAGATGTTCGACTATCGACCAAAGGGCGGGTGTACTGCTCATCAGTCCGCTCCGTCCTCCTTTATGGTTGTGAGACCTGGCCACTGAGAGTGGAAGACATGAAAAGACTAGCTGTCTTTGATCATAGGTGCCTGCGTTCTATTTCCCGTGTAAAGTGGCATAATAAGGTGAGCAACATGGAGGTTAGGCGTAGAGTTCTAGGTAAACAGGGGAAATCAATCGACGAAGTCGTGAAGCTACAAAGACTGAGATGGTTAGGACATGTGTTACGTATGCCAAGCCATCGCCTCCCTCGACGAGCATGGTTAGCGGATAAAGGGTCAGCCTGGAAAAAAGCTAGCGGCGGTCAAACAAAAACTTGGCATCAGTCAATGAAATCCACAACAGTTGGTCTAAGCCACGTAGAAAGGTGTAGACTTCCAGGCTGGGGTCCTCGGGACGGTAAAAATCTATGGTTGGAAACAATTGGTGACATGGCTCAAAATCGTTCTCAGTGGCGCAGATGCATCCATTCCCTGTGACTTATGATCTTCAATGAAACTGTTTTGTATTTCTTTATTACTCCTTTGTCTCATACCTCTGCTCACTGTTTCTCTTATGCTTTTCTTGTACTTTCTTCTCTTGCTTCGCGTGCTACACGGAATGTGGCGACTTGAACTTCCGCACATTTGTGCAAAGTTCTATGTCGAAAACAGACAGAGACAGACTACGTCAGCTAAGACTGCTCGTCGAAGAAGACGATAGCTCAACATGCGTAACACATGTCCTGGTCATCTTCAATAAATGTGGTAGCTTCACAATCGACTGAAATCAAAGTAAATGGTAACAAGACAAAGGGGTGAAAATAATCCCAAGTATTGAATAACAGTACCAGAAGGCAGAAAGGAAAAAGTGTTTAACACTTCAGTTACGATGCAGAAACGACATGGACTTGTGGCGACCGATTCCCAACTATATTGAAGGTGATGGAAGCACTTTGGATTAATCACAGTCGCATACAGCCTAAACTGTGTGTACAAAAATCAATAGACTTCAATCTTCGCCTACCATGGACTACATGACCTATCTAAATATGATTGGTCATTAGTATGTACTTTTGTTTTTATTTTTTATTTAACTGAGTAATTTTCATGAATTTTATTTTATCCTTGTTAACCATGTTAGTTGTAAAGCGGTTGTAAAGAAACTACGAAATGACGATATCATCTCGCGAAATTTGTCTTCTTAATGCCTTATTCAAATATATCAACGAGGGCTGAGAACAACCGGTTTAAAATATCTCAAGAATATTGAATCTAGGAGCTTATATTACTATGCAGGGTTTTAAACAACAGCCAGAAGGTTTCGATTCAACTATTCAAGTCCTTAACGTACCAGTAAAAATTCACCCAACAATTTCCATAAGCCAAGTAGCATGAATAAAATCCCGAAAACACATACAAAGTATATTCAAATACACAAAGAAGTAAAAAATGGTTGTTAAGTTCGACTGAATGACCAGCTAACTTAACCAGAGACATACAGGAAAACGATTACGTAATGTTGCATGCAGGAAACATTTCGAAGTGATTTAGTTGACATCAATGGGTCAAAACAGAAAATAATAATGATAATAACAGCAGAAATACCACAAATCTTAACTCAATTAGATGATTTCCAATCAATTCTTAATGCTGCTGATAAATTCTTAGTGTTTTCTGTAGGTTATTTATCAAACACTCCATGAAATTCTCCACAAATATATTATTATTATTTAATTCAATTTTAAATTTTCCCGTCGATTGATTGAACCGAAGTGCTCGGTCTCAGGTTGACATGTCGGCTTCTTGTGTAGATATCTTGACGATGTCTTGACATGTAATTAGATGGTGACTAGCAGTGGAATCCAGGATGCGCGTTTCGTCCCATTTGGGACTCGTCATCTGGATGTGCTTGCATTCCCTAGTGAGTGATGATATTCCCACCGAGGCTCGAACCCAGTGCCCATAGTTTCAAACGCTAAAGCGTTATCCACTAGACCACTTGGTCTGGCACTAGGTGCGAGCCTCGGAGGGAACATCATCACTCACTGCGGAATACAGGCACATCCAGATGACGAGTCACAAATAGGACGAAATGCGCGTTGTTCTGGATTCCACTGCCAGTCACCATCCACCGATTGATATTATTATTATTGTTGTACTCACAAATAGTTAGTTTCCTTTCGTGTCAGTAGTAAAGATTTTGTCATCACAATTCCTGAATTGCTGTTTCCTTAAACTATGACATTTTTATATTCAACTTATGCACATAAGAATAAAAAAGTATGTTCCCCTTCAATCAATCCGTTGATATTCTTGATTTTGGTAGACTGGATCATATTCAAGACCATACGTCGAGGCGAGAAGACAGGAATACTTTCGACCTACAAAAAGATTCACTGTCTAATCTTTAAATATGGCCATTTATAATATTAGAACAAGACATATTATTGGTACTTGTAAACAAAGCCGACATGAGGTTTAGATAAAGAATACAAACAAAAGAAGAAGAGAAAATGAAAAAGGATTACATCATAAATTATCCTTCTTAGGGATAACATGAAGAGATTTACCTCTGGTCCGGGACTGGGATTTGTTAAAACAACATTTACACCACTTAAGAAATCCAGAATAAGTAAATGCGTAGACGGAAGAGAGGACACAAATATACGCATACTACACGACCGAATGATTTCGAAAACATATTTCTGAAAGACAGAAAAAAAACAGATGAACAAAGTGAATAATACTTAAGACAACGGTAGAATGTCCTAAAAGTGGTTGAAAACTTGTTACTTATAGTAAAAGAAATGTCACTTAAAGCGCTGTAAATCATAAAGACGCGTTTTGTCAATTTCGGGAGTTACAATAGACTAATTTCATGTTATTTTGCCGACGTTTAGAATACTAGCTGAAGACTCCGATAGTGAGATAAAATATCTGCCTAGTTCCTTTGGGTTTTTCTAATGGTTCTCTAACTGATGCCGCCAGCTTGCTATCCGACCTGTAACTAATCATATCCCTGAAAATCAGTAGTTGATATTTAGTTTGGGTCTATGTAGGAAGCTACCCGGAGTTCTAGTGAGAAATAGTCAACACTGGGATCTATCAAGTCAGGCAAGAAAAACGATTACTAGCCGGTGATATTGACTGGAAGTTGAGCTATATATATTGTGAATTGACAGAAGTCAGAATTAACGGACTGGTGGCCATTAGATTAGGTCCTAGGGGCTAAATGACCAACGAGCTCGCGCTTTGTATTCTGAAGGTCTAATGTTTGGTCCGCAGGAGGGCCATGGGTGAATACTGCTTAGGTGTCTCAAACTAGGACCAAACAGCTGACAGTACTTCTTAACTGGTCTTCAATGACTCCCTAGCGAATGTTAGCTTTGATCAAACCTGTAACCAATGAAATCTCCGCAAACCAACGATAGTAAACACGTCGAAATCAATAGGTCATGAGAAACGACATATTTGACTAGGCAAACAAGTACACATTTGATAATTCCATCAAATGTACGGCATCAGCGCATTACAGAATAGGATCAGATGATGGCATACTCTGTAAAGGATAAAAAAAGCTAACGCGGTAGTCAGATAGTGAGCCCATGATGATTATAATGCAAACTAACGAGAGAAGACAAAGTGTAGAATGGATACGCTTAAGAAAGTCAGGAGGCGTTAACCATCTGTTACAGACAAACACTTCCCTCATATTTCTATTTAGGATAGTTGTACACCATGCAGAGTAACCGGTCACTCACTATAAGTGGATTCATTGCAGAGGCTACAAAAACAATTGTTTGAAGCAGACTAACAATAAAACTTCAGGTTCTTAGATTTATTGATCCCTGAAAAATGTGTCAATTTGCCATTTTCTATTCTCCACAGGGTTATAGTCGTATAATACTAAGGTTTTCCCAAGTTGGGACCAAGCAACTGATCAATAACTCTTGGTTTGCAAGTTCAGACATCTGCTCTACATCAAATCGTTTCATATACATATATATGCTTCAAAAATTTGGCCCTCAAATCACCAAATCATTTCCAGCAAGATTCTGATCTTCGTTAACAGCTGTCTTCACTGGCTTCCAACTGAAGATAAGATGACCGGCCAGAAAGGATAATGTCACAAGGAACTCTGTAGTGCAACGAATCAATCAAGAGCCTATTGCCCAACAAATATGACACAAAAAATGGAGATGGGTCGTATGCATGCCAAGGAGACCGACGAGTGACGACGCCCACCAGGCCATCGCCTAAGTGGAACCCGAATGAGAAACGAGTCAGACGAATATCCGCGGCCGACATGAAAGACAACATGAGAGGAGACTAAAGCTTGTAGGATATCGTAGAGCCAGTGAATAGGACTGCAAAGAACTGGATAACATGAAGACGTAGTGTTGAAACCCTATTTTCCACTTAGAACCCGAAGGAATAATGATAATATAAATATAATTTTCTAAAGATATGTGTTCAATTATTTCATACAATAAACAAACTGTATCTTGAAAAATGGCTCACCTCTTCTTTTGATACACAAATTCGATGAACTAAATAATAAAATTGAGCAATTAACTCAGGATCAGGGCATCCATCATGGAAACGGACAACAATATCACTAAGAGTACGTATAGCCAGCTGTTTAGATTCAACAAAATCTTCAGACAGATTTAGGGACTTTGAAAAGTCAAAGAAAGAATAGAAAGTATTTATTATTATTTAAAATATATTTAAAACGCAAACTTAGTAAATTATGGGCAGTGAGAAATACGCCACACAACAGTAAACAAATAAAATACACAGAGAAAAAGAGAGAATATGTAAGGGACGTCAACCAGAAAGCAGGCAAGTATCCTTGTCAAGACCACCCCACATATTCATCACTTCATGTTACTTTCAGAAAAGGAAGAATGATGAGAAATTCTGGAAAATTCACCATTGATTACGATTCTTGGTTATATCTAATAAAACATCTCATCCTAACGATTCAAATTATTCCTCCGAAATCACCTAGAGAGTCGTGACGTAACTACTGGTGCTAACCTAGCACATCACATCTCCATCCAGTCCCAGAGCTAGCAAATAGTGAGTCATATGGGAGCCTCTGGGATGACATTCGTAGCAGATATCCAACCCAACGAAGTCAGTGTTTCAAGATGAAAGATGACCTCCAACATGTCCAAACATACGCTGCCAAACCTCAGAATTACCGACACACTTACATCATCCGACACAAGCAACTGCGCGGAGATAATGATGGTCAAATACGCAGTCACAGTACATCATAAACTAGAAGAGATCATGTTCTACAGGTGTAGAGCGAAGCTGCGTGCACCGAACACAGCACCAAAAATAGCCAAAATGCCACCCTAGCTTTCATCCGTAACACCCTCACTAGCACTCACGCGACTATTTGTAGACAATTTCAAGGGATGCTTCTGCACGGGTGAGTGCAGTTACAGGTCCCTGTCAATCTTCCAACAGTAATTTGCACTTGGATTGTGCAAAGTACATACTATACTCACAGGCACCGATCACTAAATGCATCGGTGGAACAGTGATAGAATGCTCGCCAACCACACATGTGGTCCGAGGTTCTATCCCAGACTACCGATGCACTCATTTACCTCGTTGAACCATTAATAATAAAACTGGTAAAGAGGAAAGGTCGAACATGAGACTAGCAACCCCATTCCGTAAAGTTGAACACCACTGCTACCGAAACTTCAAACTTCTAGCTTGACCCCCCCCCTACGTTCCACTGGGAATGTAAAGGAATAGGGAAAAAACTGATCACTAAATGATTGCCTGTCTGTCTGTTTTCGACATAGAACTTTGCACAAATGTGCGGAAGTTCAAGTCGCCACACTCCCTCCATGTAGCACACAAAGCAACAGAAGAAAGTACAAGAAAAGCATAATAGAAACAGTGAGCAGAGGTGTGAGACAAAGGAGTAATAAAGAAATACAAAACAGTTTCATTGGAGATCATAAGTCACAGGGTGTGGATGCATCTGCGCCACTGAGAACGGTTTTGAGCCATGTCACCAATTGTTTCCAACCATAGATTAATGATTAAGTAGGCATAAAAGAGAAGAGTTGAAATATATAGCGTAATATTGTGCGTAGAAACACAGAATGTGAAAAAGGAACGTGATGCATTATTTTTACATATGATTACAACCCCCTCCCTCGTGTACTCTCCTCTTGAATTTACAATTATGCTTTTCACTACTTGATAAAATAAGTATTATTATTGTTATTATTTTAGTTAAGTGGAAGACTATTGTATAAAAATAGTATAAAGTTATCATTAAGAGAAATTTATATACATATATACATGACGTCTACACGATTATAAAATTTGTATTTTAAACAAAAAACAACGAGTGTTTGTAATTTCATCATCACTGGAAATCACTTCACTTCAATTCAATTCACTTAGTTAGTTAGTTAGTTAACTATGAAAAACTATGAATGTACTATGCGGTGTGTCGTATGATTATAATTACTACAAAAAAATTATAAAGCAATAACAAACCTCAAGATTGTTATTGTCATTATTATTATTATTATGATTTAGAAAAAGTATCATATTAACATCTCTGCTTTAACATCTTATAGGTTTAGTAACCAAGCATCTACCTAGAAGAGATAGGCTTTGATTGAGATAGAAGACGCATCAAAGATAGGTCTACAGTTGAACATAGATAAAACAGAGGTAGGTGATGAATATTCCTGGCCAACACCAACAGCAACAACAACGGACAACAATCAGCCAGCAAAAATGGGAGGAACCTCAAAGAAACAACCTCCTTTACCTACCTACCCACTTGGGAAGCATCGTTTCAACTACAGGCGAACGGAACTGAAGTCAGTCAGTGCTACTTACTATACGGATCAGAGACCTGGCGCGTCATAAAGAGCATCTCAAACAAACTGCAGACCTTCATTAACAGTTGTCTTCGCTCAATACTCAAGATCAGATGGCCGGTCAGAAAAGATCTGCAATAGGGATCTCCGGCAATGAGCGAACCAACCAGGAGCCAATTGTGCAACAAATATGCAGGAAGAAATGGAGGTAGATTGGCTGGCCATACTCTGAGGAAATCAGCAAGTGACATCACTAGACAAGCCATCGCTCTAGTGGAACCCGACTGAATGGGAAGCGGCGAGTTGGTCGTCAGTGCAAGGGTGACTTAGAGGAGGTCATGTGAAGAGGAGATGAGAGTATGTGGGCAGACTTGGAGCGGGGTGAAAAAGTTGGCAGAGAACCGAAGGCAATGGAGACGCGCGGCTGAAGCCCTATGCTCCTCTGGGAACTAAAGGATATGATAATAAATAAGGTAGTTATGTCAAGTGATATAGCTAAAATGTGTAATACAACCACCACCACCACCTAAGAGGTGAAGCAGTTACTGCAACATTCACGGGGGATTTATCACCGTGTAATCAGTAATTTATCATCCTTCATGTAGTTCAGAATTATTTTTTTAATATACCAGGTATACCGTAAGCTATACACCTTGATATATACAAGGGGGAGGGGGGGAGGTGATATGTATCCACATATATATATTTATGTGTGTGTGCATGTTGGTCTCTCTTTCTGTTTCCTCGGTTAGTCTGTGACCACTTCACTTGTATGGACTTGTCTCCTTTAATAATGTGTATTCTCCTTATATTATATTATATATAATATGAGTGAAAAAAGATTGCGCGCGCGCTTTTCGACTATTACGCTACATTTTGGTCATAAATAAAATATCTTATTACTCTAAAATTTTATGCAAAGTGTTTGCGGAAATTATCACAATTATTAACCTTTCGAACACTGAATCCAAAAAATACAATCTTATTGACAGATAATACACATAACTCACTGTTTGGATTTGTGGAATTTTTAAACATAAACACATCTATAATTGTATATATTGTTGGATTTATATGTTCAAGTTGCTCCAAGTCAGTGAGTTTATGGTTAAGATATCATTTTAGTTACATATACTGAACTATATTGCATGTTGTCTTATTGTATAGTTGTCGTCGCTTTTTGCCCTTTTTTCTGTGAACTGTTTCCTTTGTTGATGTTGTTCTCATTGTTTGTCCGTTATTTTCTGATTTTGAGGGGAGCAACCCAAAAAGTTGCTTCTCTCTAAACTTTTACTTAATGTAATCATTCTTTTCTCAGGCGTGAGGCTAGCAACCCCACCCTGTAAACAAAAATTGCTACAGAACTTCAGTATGCTGAACCTCCTTGCACCAAAAGAAAAAGTCTGTGTAGGAACATGGAACGTCCGAACTATGTACGAGACTGGAAAAGCTGCCCAGATCGCCAACGAGATGAAAAGATACGGAATACAAGTGCTGGGAATATGTGAGAGCAGATGGAATGGGAGTGGACTCACCAAATTGTCAACAGGTGAGTCAGTGATCTACTCCGGTCACCCAGAAGATAACCACACGCACACCGAGGGCGTGGCTATCATGATGTCACCAACGGCAACGAAAGCCCTGATACAATGGGAGGCGATTTCGTCCAGGATAATGACCGCCAGGTTCAACTCCAAAGGAAGGAAAGTGTCAATCATACAATGTTATGCACCCACAAACAACGCAGACCTCGAGAAGAAAGAAGAATTCTACAGGCAACTACAGGCAACAATGGACAATACTCCAGCTGGCGACATGAAAATACTAATGGGAGACATGAACGCCAAACTGGGACCAGACAATACGGGAAGGGAACTCATCATGGGTAGAGAAGCTCTAGGAGAAATGAATGAAAACGGAGAACTCTTCGCCGACTTCTGCGCCTTCAACGAACTGGTGATTGGTGGCAGTGTATACAAGCACAAAGATATCCACAAGGCTACATGGGTGTCACCAGACGGGCAAACCAAAAACCAAATCGACTTCATCTCAATCTCAAGGAAGTGGAGGCGCAGCCTACTGGACACAAAAGCAAGAAGAGGAGCAGACGTTGGCTCAGACCACTATCTCGTACAAGGGACAATCCAAATCAAATTAAAAGCTTTCAGGGAATCAGGAGCTGCAGATAGACCACAAGCCAAGTTCAACACTCAAAAGCTGAAGGACCAGGCTACAAAGGACATCTTCATTGCAAGCATAAAGGACAAAGCCGAGACACAAATCAACACTAGCGAAGAGGTCGGCGTTGAAAAGCACTGGAACAACTTGAAAACGGTGTGGAGCCAAACCTGCATAGAAATTCTAGGCAGAAAAAAGAGACAGGACAAACAGTGGCTCACTACGGACACTTGGAAACTAATAGAAGAGAGAAGGACAGTGAAGCAAAAGATTATCCAGTGCACGGACGAGCAACAAAAACAGGAGCTGAATGCAAGCTACAATACACTGAACAAAAGAGTGAAGAAAAGTGCCAGGGAAGACAAAAGAAAATATTATGAAACCATGGCAAACGAAGCAGAACAAGCTGCAGGCAAAGGAGACCTCGCCACACTCTACCAAACAACTAGGAACCTTTCGGGCAAACGTTCGACACAGATTAAGCCAATAAAGGACGACAATGGAAAGTCAATCACCAAAGAGGTGGAACAGAGAAAGCACTGGGTTGAACACTTCAAAAGACTTCTAAATCGTCCGCCACCTACAACACGTCCAGCAATACCAACAACGGAAGCAGAACTACCAGTG